AGAAAAACCCGTGCAACCAGGGCCGGCTCATACACATTTGACGCCCGGGTGCAAGTCAAAATTTGCCGCCCTATAGTCTAAAAGAGTTTTTCAAAGTTTTTTACTATACTTGCTTTTATATTAGCATATGCTAATATAAAAGCAAGTATAGTAAAAAACTTTGAAAAACTACCCATATGGAACACAAATAATAAAAGCGAAGTCTTATGCTGTTACGATTTATGTTAATAGAAATTTAGCATTAAAATTTTATTATTATAATGGTATTTTTTTCATGGCGTTCCCAAGCATTTTTAGAAACAAAAAAAAATATTATGTTGCAGCTTACGACATGACTGAAAAGTGAAACACTTTGTACATAAACAAATATATTAAAATTATAGCTTACAAGTTTTCATCTTAAGGGCCGGTTTTTTAATCGTTGGTTAACTTTATCTTACGGTTTATTTCCTTAGATACTATTGTTAACACAATAGTATCTAAGAAAGTTAACCGTAAGTTAAACTTAACCAACGATTGAAAAACCGGCCCTAAGCCTATCGATTTTTAGTAAAATATCATATTCCAATAATAAGAATATGCCAATGAACAAATTATGAACTAAATATATATTGGAAACTGAAGACATGGAGTTTTCGACCAACGAGAGAAAATCATCAAAAGTTTCGTATGTGACGCTTCCTCTGATTTTTTACTTTTACTGATTGATACCCGTTTTTCTTTCGAATTTAGTTTCGTTTTGCCGCCCCTCATGCTCTGCCGCCCGGGTGCTTTGAACCCGCTGCAGCCGGCCCTGCGTGCAACCAACAAGAGGTGTAAATTTGGTGAATGTAAAAGTGTTTAAATTTGAAGGTTTTTACATTTTAATAAAAAAATTAAATTATTATAGTATAAATAGTCCCGAACAATTTGGTATAATTGGTATACACAAATGTCAGTGTTGTAGGTACTTGATTTTATTTAATTATTTTAATAAATATTTCTGGGTGTTTTACCATAAACAACGGTGCAAAAATTAAGTACATGTACTGGATATCGATTTTCTTGCATACGGGATTTATTAAATTGTACTCGCAGATTCACATTTAATTTATACCAATGTCCGTGGTGTCCTGAAATGAAAGCCCATTTTGAAATACTTTCCTGTAAATTTATTTAGGTACCGGCCGGTCTGGTTTCATCTGACGGCGCGACGCAGACATTGTTTTTGTTATTTGTGTCATTTTAATTACCTACCTTGTATTTTATTGTAATTATTAATTTATTAAAGCTTATCAACAAATGAGGCATAATAGACAATTGCGAACCCTCAGTTGAAACGATCTCGAGCCTGATAATTTATTTACTCCTTTTTTTAACATTCGATTGAGCCTGAACTCTAATAAATATTACATGAAAAATTATGTAACAGTAAATAATTATAAAAACTTTATTTGGCGGGCGGATACCTAATGCAGATGGAATTCTTGACGGATAAAGTTAAATTTAAAATACAAAAATAGATACTAAGACTTAATCTACTTTTATCCAACAAATAAGCAAAAAAACAAAGAAACAAACTAAAAATTAAGACGAGGAGCATCCCTGCTTAAAATACCCCATAGAGACCTATACAAAATAATCTATCGGGCGCTACCGGATTCAATATGTGCATTTGTCCATGGTTTTTTTCCGGATACGGCCCGATAGAAATTGTAAAGGAACTTACCCATAGGCACACCATAACATTTACATTTTTCCTATTGAGACCGATAGAAAATAACTCAATGAAGGATGTGTATACCCATACATCCTTCATTGAGTTATTTTCTATCGGTCTCAATAGGAAAAATGTAAATGTTATGGTGTGCCTATGGGTAAGTTCCTATATATATATCCCTATAGAGCAACCATAAAACATTTGACAAATTTTTATTAAAACCTATACGGTCCTATGGGGGAAAGAGTAATTTCTACATTTATGTGTATTTTCCCCATTGAAACCAATAGCAAATAAATCAAGGGTGGATATCCCAACTATGGGTCCTATACATACCGATACACCCTATAGAAACACCATACATTCCGATATAAATATCTATCGGTTTGAACAGGGTCTCTATGGGGTATTTTAAGCAGGGATCAACACGAGATCTATAGTATACTTGGTGTATTATTTATCTAATGGTATTTATATATTTATATTATATGTGGGTTGTGGTCGTAGTAAGGAGATATTGTGTGGTTTTAAGGGTTTGTAGGATGTCCCTTTCTTTCAGCGTTCTTTCAGAAAATAAGTTAAATGTCGTTTGGGTTACGGATATTGTTGTTGCTTTATCTAAATAAATATCGATAATGATCATTATTGACCTAAGTTTAAACGTAATTTATTGTCTTTTATTTACTTTATTTATTATTTCCCTTTTAATACTTTCCTCATGAATACAACACCTCAAAAGTACCTTGGGTTACTAAATTAAAGAGCTTAATTACCGTAAGTATTTATTTTATTTATTTGTCGTAATTTAATATAACATTTATCACTCGGGGTGTTACCCAGATAGCAAACGTGAATACGAAATCACGCGTGAGTGAATAATGTGTGCTATATGATTTCACACGTGAAGTCTTGAACTCGTAATTCACACGTGAGTAGATTATGAATTCATATTATAGTCTCGTGTGATTTAATCGATTTTATTTTAAAATACATGGATTGCATGATTAAAAACTGAACGTTTAAATATAAATAGAATATTAATATTCTAATATCAAAATATTACCTGACGCGCGAATTTTAGAATTATTATTTTAGTTACATTTTTAAAATTCGCACAGCTCCATTGCGCAATTAGGTATATAATATATTAAGTTATAAGTATATAATATATTAAATTATATTAAGTTATAAGTAGTTATATTATATAATTATATATTATAATATATAATTATATAATAAATATATATATATTAAAGTAATATATATAATTACATAATATATATTGGTTTAAAAGGTCACAATTATATGTTATAGGTACATTAATAATTAATATATGTATATTATATATTAATTAATTAATTAGTTAACCTTAAGGTTATAATTGTAATGTATAACCTATAATTGAGGAGCAATCAACCAAAACCAGATAAATCCATTTTGACTTCTTGAATGATTCATATTTCTTTTAGTCGGATAAATCAATTGGAAAAGTGAATTTCAAGATAAACTTACTTAACTATACTAATATTAATATTAGTATATAATATAATAATTATTATATAATATTAATATTATGATCATATCATATTATGATAACAAGTTTAGCTTGAAATAGATATTTCCAATGGATTTATCTGAACAAAAGAAATTGAAACCATTCAAAAAGTCGAAATGGATTTATCTGATTTAGTCTGATTGCTTCTCAATTATGGCCTTTTAAACCAAGTTTTTGTGTATTTTTTTAAGATGTTAAAATAAATATTTCGACAGATTAAATTATTTTGAAAAATGAAATCCATATTCTAAAAGCGCATGCGCAAAAAATAAAAAGTTCACGCGTGATGGCAAATTGAGCATCAATTGAGGACTCATCTGTCGCGTTATATGAATTCACGCGTGAATTTAATTTTCACGCGTGAATTCGTAGTGAATTCATAGTGAATTCATTTTGCTATCTGGGTACTTTTACAGATTCTTTGCTGGGGAGGTTTGTATCCTTACAGTATGTACTTTTTATTTAAAAGAAACAAAGTGCGCTGTTGCAACTTTAAAATTTCTCAGTGAAAAAGTATATTACGTAAATTTTTGCTGGGGTTTTAAATAAAAGATGTATTTCAAAATGCAGGTTTTTATTTAGTTTTGGATGGTTTATTTACAAAAATACTATACATTTTAACCTAAAATCTTAACAACAAATATATACAATTTAACATCTACATATAGCATACAAATTTACTTAAATCAAAAACCGTTAACTTTGAAAGGTAGAGAGCCAAGCTATAAAAATTAACCACCTCAAGTTTATGTTATAAATGGGATAATATCAAAATATTTATTTTAAATGCAAATCCAAGAAATATATTATAATAATTATAATATATAATCTTGGATTGATACTTTTTTATAGAGTATAAAAATAAAATAAATGTGCTTCACATACATAATGTACTAACAAATATCAACATCAATAAAATTGTGATAAAAACAACACCGTTAAACTTAAGATAGAAAATTAGATTTACATACAATAAAAGTAAAGCTATGTAAATTGAATGTATCACTAGTGGGCAAAATTATTGAAATTTTCAATATTTGGTTCTAATTAATAAATTTTCTCATTTATTTAGTATTTTATCGAGATTACCTACTGTTTAGCAACCTCGGGTCTATAAGTAAAAATAATGATAATTTAGGTATTATCACATAACATTGTTAGATATAAAAAGTAAAAAATAAACGTTAAGTAGATTATATTTTTTATTTATAACAATAAAACTTTAAATGTAAAAAATATAGAAAAATTTCCATCTTAGGTATATGTGATTCTCTAGGCACTAACGGTTGATAAAAAAATTAATCAAAAAGTGCATTTTGAAGCGAAATGAGACATAAATGGTCCCGTAAGCTAAAAACAGCTTCCAAAATAAATGATTGTACACCAATACCTTTTTATTTTTATTGATGGGAAAAATAAAAATATACAGTTTGATTTTCAAATAAATCACCGGTCGAATTTCGTAATTTTTAAACATTTTTTTATTAGAAATAAATAGAAATAATGACTGTAAATAGCTATGCCCCTGAGTAAAAAAATGTTCGTTACCGGCATTATATGATTTAAAAAATATATAAAATAAATAATAACCTAGGTACGTAAATACAAAAAAATTTCGACATCCATGCTTTGCCAGTCGAAAAACCGCCCGACCGTTTTCGTACGTGTTATTGCTGCCGCTAGGGGTCGCTCCGCCGGCAAAACTTGGCGCATTTCTTCTAGCTAACAAACTACACGATTGTCTGTCTATTCAATTTTTTTGATGTTGTCCTTTACTATGGTTTGCGTGACGAAGCCCTTCGTGCTTCCATTCGAATAGCACGCTTTGTACGAGTCGCTGTACTCGCTCGAAATGTAAGTGTTTTTCAGACTACCGTTGCTGTAGGACTTCTTCTCGTCGTCTTCGAGAACAGGCTGAAAAGGAAAACGGAAAATTTGTCAACATCACTCGTTTTTAGAGACGGGATCTGTCAAATAGGGTCACACTGCCATGTGGCGAAATATGTTGAAATAGTAGATTCTTAAAGGATTATCAAATGTAAAATAATAAAGAGGAAATGAGCGCTTAAGCATATGTACGAGGTATGTTCAGAAAATAATTGTTAAATTTCGCGGGTTCAGAGGGTCCGGTTGTCATAAAATTTTCTTTATTATGTTGGTATACATGCCCCCGAAGTATGATAAAAACTTTAGATGTTTTCATTGTTTACTTTGTCTGTGGCAGCCGCTAAGGTTAGACGTGTTTTATGAGCTCGGCGATTTTTTGTTTGTTAAAAGAAATGGATCAAAGAATTTGTATCCAATTTTGCTTAAAAAATTAAATAAATTCTGTGAAATGTTAACAAAGGCCTATAGTGAGTCTGCTATAAGTAAAACAAGAGTTTACAAGTGGTATAAGAGTTTCCAAGATGGCCGTGAAGATGACGAACGCACAAGCACATTAACAACCGATAAAAACATGGAAAAAGTGGAAGAAATGGTTACAATCCATCAGAGAAGTCGCTGATGATGTTGGTATATCGATTGGCTCATCCCATGAAATTTTTTCGAATGTTTTGGGTATGAAACGCGTAGCAGCAAAATTTGTTCTAAAATTGTTAAATTTTGAACAAAATTTTTGGCCAAAAACAATACTGTAATGATGCGCCAGACATGCCTCTGTCTGACTTTTTCCTATTCCCAAAAATAAAGAGAACCTTAAAGGGCCGTCGTTTTGCAAGCATAGATGACATTAAAAGCGCATCGCTGAAAAAACTAAAGGCTATCCCAAAGATCGAGTTTTAGAAGTGTTTCGAGTATTGGAAGAAGAGCTGGCACATGTGCATAATATCCAATGGGGACTATTTTTAAGGCGACAACATTAATGTAGACGAATAAACAAATATTTTTTTCAAAAAACGAAAATTCCCGATATTTTCTGAACACACCTCGTAGAGTAGTGTTTTAAAATTTCCGGAAAAATTGAGCCGGCTGAAAAAAAAACAGTTTTTTCCGGAAAAAAAACGGAAAAATTGGTAAATTTTCAGAAAAATTGCTGTTTTCATTTTATAAATTTTATTCAAAAGGGTAATGGGGCATTCCACGTTACTCGGTAATTTTTGTCCCGCCCGTAACAATTAAAAATTGTGAGTAAAAACCACAAGTTATTAAATCAATATTTTATAATATTATTTTTATTGTGCTTATAACTTATTAAAAGCATAATAAACAATATTTTAAAATAAATTTTATAACGTGTAATTTTTACTCACAATTTTTAATTGTGACGGGCGGGACAAAAATCCCCGAGTAACGTGGAATACAATAATACAAAAAAATGCAAGTAAATTTTTCTGAAAATTTCTAAATATAATATCCGTGCAATGATATCGAGAAAAAACTGAATTTCCGACGCTGGTTATAAACATAATATTATGAGTGTAGTAACTGGGCCCCAAAAAAACTATTATGAGTGTAGTAACTGGGCCCCAAAAAACATATTCGGTACTGTAATAACATAACTTTTATTTAACAGTTCGGTTTATAAAATTATTTTGTAGTTGGATATTTCCTTTTTTGCAAAAAACCCAACCGACAGTATATTTTACGTTTGCGTTTATTTTCAATGTTTATTTATTTTGTAATAAAGGATATTTTTTTAAAATTAAAATTAAGTTGTTGAATGCTACATTTTTGCAAATGTATATATTTTCCAAAAAAAAATTATGTTTTTCCGAAAAAGCCAATTTTTTCAAGGCTTGGGAAAAAACGAAAAACAAAAAATTTGTTTTTTTTTCGATACTTCGAATTTAAAAGAAATATTTATAATGTTGAATTAGATGAACAATGTAAACACATAAATGCATATTATGAACATTATCGCAACATTGTCATAGTAGAAGTGGTGGCACAAAATGTAAATCAGCGCCGCTAGCAGGGTTTTAATAAAAAATTAATGATTTTTATTAAAAAAATCAACAAAAAATGATTTTTTAAAATTATAAGCTTTTTTTAATAAAGTGTACTATTAAAAAAAATACTAAAAATAACTTGACTATAATATTATATTGGCACTACTTTATAAAAAAATTAACCACCGTCCACAAGTGTCAATTTTTGTTGTACCTATATTCCTTTATTATTTTATTTGGCAAAATAAGCAGTTTTTATATGCATATGATTTTATTTAAATAGTGTCAAGTGTTTAGTTTAAGACTTTTTAAGTGTTTTTTTTTAAATTTTAGAAACTTTTTTTAAAACTGATTTAAATCATTGATTAAAATAAAAAAATTACTTAATTTAAATTGTGATTTAAATCAAACGATTAACGAACCCTGGCAGCTAGTGGTGAAAAAATAACACGTAATTTGTGCGATTTAGAAGGCAGGTTCTGCCAATTCCCGCAATTGAATTCGTACTCCTTGTGTAAGCTCCATGACTATAAGATTTTAAAAAAACCCTACTCGCACAAGTGCCATGACTTCTACTGTATGTTATATTGTAAATATTTGTATAAATATTAGGGTGTCCCCTATTTTCCAAGTTGTTTTTTCCCAAGTGTTCTTTATTAAGCAATTAAATCCCTCCAAGTAACCGTTTTTGAGATACGTGCGTTTAAATTGTTTAGTGTGCCCCTTTTATTGTGATTAATTTGTACTTAAAAATAATAAATATTTTTTTAATAGTTATTTATGTATCAAGGCAGTAAAGTCGTGTTTTTTATCAGCAATGTGGAAATTATTATCACATTTAATAATACTAATATTGATGATTAAATCAAATGTCATTGATGATCAAATCAAATGTCATTTGAATGTAGGAAGTGTATACGTATACTGTTTGTTGCGACGATTATTATATATTTGCCCACCGCGGCGATTTTTTAATCTAATTAATAAAATTAATTTATTATTTTTATTAAACAACATTTTATGGAAGGGTCCAATCGAGGTCCGCGACGGTGCTTTTTTTAAATATTATTTAGTTGCTGCTTAGGAGCAGTAGACACATCTTAAAATGTATGAGTTGCATACAATACTCGTATTAAATCGGCAGTAAAGTTCTACTGCCGATTTCTTTTACTTTACTGCCGATTGTTGACTACTTTACTGCCGATTTCGGATAAAAGTATTTAAAAACATACAATTTTAAAAATAAATAAATTTGTAGCGTCTCTTAATGTATTTTTATGGTAAAAAATGTTACATTTTCAAATCACTATTAAATGGGTGCACAATTTAAATGCAAATATCTCGAAAAATAAAGATACGGCGCACAAAATATGACAATTTAAAAGTAGGTATGCAAAGTGTCGCAGACAGCGCCCTCTACAACTTACATTAATTCTGAAAAACCCCCAAAAATCAAATTTTGTGCATAAACGTTTATTTTTTCAAATTTCTTTAATAAAATTGAAAACGAACTTTCAACTTTGACACCCTGTATCTTGGTTATTATCAACTTTTGTATAGAAGTTAATTTAGCAAATATAAAGGACACAATTTTACGCTCTACAAAAAAGATGTTTTTGTTTTTTTCGTAAAACCACTCTTTTAAATGATATCGGAGATTACAGTTCAAAATATATAAAATAGTTAAAAATTAAAATCATCATGATTTAGGCATGGTTAAACAATATTTTTTTTAATTGTTTTAGTATATCTGCGATCAGTGGTTTAACTATTATTATAGTAATACTACTGAATGTTACTGTCCCGTTAATTCCTAGAATATTTTCTTTTAATTTCTTCGTTTTTAAGCCCCTCTAATCAATCAACATTTTCATAATATTGCAATATTGTGAATGTGTTTGGAATTTGAAGTTTTAAATGCGGTTTTTTAAATACTTTTACCCACAAATCAATTACCAAAATCGCTCCCAGGTGTAAGTTTGGTTTATTATATGAATCATGGGTTTTAAATAGGTATGTTGTAAGGTCCTCAAAATTGCGTTATAGACCAACTAATAAATAAATAAAAAGTGTGTATATGGAAATAATATAAGTTTAAACATATATGCTTACCATACAAGCTCCAGCGTTGTTGTTAGCCTTCACAGTCTTTTTGTCGTTGGTATATTTGACTTTATAAAAATCGCTAAAGAGGAATAAAAACATGACGCCGTGCAACGCAATCCAAATCATAAAGCTTTTGGGGTAGTTGCATTCAGTGAAGAGGAGTTGGAACTGGTGAGCGAAAATAGCGACGAATTGCAACTAAAAGAAAAAGATAAAATATTATAATTTAAAAGTTGTTAAAAGCATTCCATCTTGAATTGTTTTACATACCATTTGGAAAGAGGTGAGGTATTTTTTCCACCAAATGAATTTTTGGTATTGTGGACCCATTGCGGCAACCATGTAATAGAAATACATGACGATGTGCACAAAAGTGTTGAGCAAGGCGAAGAAGGTACTGTGACCACCTGTGTGCAAGAAAAAACAACCATAAAAATAGAAAGTTAATTTTACCAGAAAAACAGTTACAAATTTTATTAATAAATTCATAAATTATAAAAAATTGTAGGTAATAAACAAATAAATATAATTATATTTATAATCAGTGGAGGTTTTAATTTTAATTACATAATCAACAATACTTCAAACAGTATTTGCGTCAATGTTCGGTGTAATTAGGGTAAATATTGGATATTGATTTTAGTTTTTTTATTTCATGTAAACAACTTATAACAATTAGTATGTTTAAATCGTTAAATTAAATGTTTTACATTATTTGCATTTTATACATTTAATTTAATTCAAATGTCGTGTTTACATAACTATTTAGGTACGATAAAATTTAATTGCTAAAATTACTTTCTTGTTTTAGGTGAGAAAATTCCTAAATAAGGTTTGTGTAAATAAGCATACAATTGCTGACAATAAAAAATTCAGATTCATTATGATAGAAACGTTTAAAAAATACTTTCTCATAGAAAAGCACAAATTTGCTGAAATTTGTGAACATGCAAAACCATGAGACCTGGCAACATTGCACAGGAATGTCCGAGTACCAAGTTGGTACTACCAACCACTATCAACCGACCCACGTTACCAATCCTGTACAACAAAAATAACTACTAGTGCCTAAGAATTTTGTCATCCAAATTTGACAACCCCAATGTTACAAAAAATTATGTTTTTGATAGTAAAATTTGTTTAATTTCTGTTAAAAATAAAAATTTAGGTGAAATCACACAAAGGTAGTAAAATTTAAAAAATAGGTCCATTGAAAATAGGTAAAATAAAATCGGGCTGAAATGAAATCATTTTCCTCAAAACAGATTTTATTCCATTGCACCTACAGTTCATTTTTTTTATCTGGACTACTTTAGTATTTAAAAATGGTACCTACTTCTGCTAAAGAATTTAATTAAATACTTTGACACTGTCAAATTGACAATAATATTTATGCCAACAATAATAGCAACGAATTCGAATGTAAAAGCTCTTTTGAGGGCAAAATTTCATTCTGATGAAATTATGCCACAATTGAAGAAAAATTACATCGCCTTATAAGCATTTTGGAGTAAAAAAGTATCGAATTTGGTTTTATAAATATTACATCACACATTATTTTCACACCATTGGACAACATTTACGTTCAGAAAAAAATTTAATTTCTTTTATATAAATTCTTTTCAAAGCGAAGATTATTATCCGCTAGGAATACTTTGTCTTCTGGGCCGTAAAGAAACCTATATTTAACGATTATATATATATACGATTTTACTCATCCAAGCACCACCAAAGTCAAATTAATTGCATTTTTAACTACGAATTTCGACAACTCAACTTGACAACTGCACAATGTAACCTACAATAATTTATACATAACCACAATTAGATTTATAACTAGCTTAGTTTGTTTTAATCAATGCGACCAACTTGACAACTGTATTTACCAACCAAAACCCTAAATCTGCAACGTTGCCGCAGTCCAGATAAAAAAAATGAAGTTATGGCAATCGTAAAAAAAGAGTTAACAACACTAAAATCCCATCTATTCTAATTATTAATTTAAAAAATCAAAAAAAAAATACCTGGAGCAAACTTCATCCCCATCCAAACCGAGAAAGGCATGCAGCCGTGGTGAATGACGTGCAAAGTAGACACGTGGCTGTTCTTTTTTCTCAAGATGAAAAACAAAGTGTCGAAGAATTCCGTGAACTTGGAAAAATAGTACCACCAGCATGTCCTTGCCATCTGAAATTCACAAAACCAAAATGTTTATAATTATATTTCATGAGGGGGGTAAATGATAACTCACCCTCATTGCAATGGGGTCGTTGCTGTAGTCTACTGGTTGGCATCTGAAGCTGTAATTACCCCACCATCCGCTCATCATGTACTAAGAAAAAAAAGAGTTAAAGAGATTAAAGAGTTAAAATTGAGGTTTATACCTCATAAAATATCCAAGCGCTAAAAATCGTTTGTATAGCATTATATCCAATCAAAATTCTCCTAAGACTGAACGGTTTTCTGTTTTCCATCAGTTTTGGTCCTATCACTTTGGAAAAGTAGGCGTAGAATAAACATATGAACAAAGTTGGCAACGGACTCGACATCATGGCCCATCCATTTACCCTAGGATCTAAAAAGAAGGAAAAAAATCATCAAAAGTGAAACTAAACTTAAATTCAGTGATTTATAAATAAAATAAATATGTCAGCACTTTACTTTCTCCCAAATTAAAACCCGATTGGTTAAAATCACAGTGAATAATGAAAACGGCCAATCACTGATGCCTATGAACGAATATAATGAGTTCATTATTCCCGTTGTTATAATGTTACCTTTATATACGGAAACAGAAGTAGAAAAAAGATATTAAATGTATTTTTTTCTGTTTTGTAAGTGTTTGTGAGATAGAAAATATCACCTGTTATCAAACTGACGTTTTTAATGTTTAATGTTATTTTTAAAATACATAGAAAATTAATTAAAATAATGAAAATTGTTTGATATCGTTTCTGGAAATTTTATCGACACAAGTATAACGTTAACCTTAATTTTTGCAATTAAACATTATCAAGGTGCATTTTTGGGTTCAAAGTGTGGACATTAAACGCCATCGTTAACCTTACAAATTACAAGTTTTAAAATGTAAAATTTAGTAGGAAAAAAATAGAAGACTTTTTTTCATGGCCATGACTAGAATGTTCTGTAAATCAAGTGAAATAAACAATTACAGCAGCAAAAGTTGGGCAATGCCTGGAAAAGTTTATTGGTATTCACGAAATCGATTACAGTTTCGCAAACGTTCAAATTTCTTTTGTCCGTGGCAATGAAATCAATTTCAAAACAAACGTGATAAAATGTTTAAGGAACTAGAAAAAGTAGGTTAAACAAAAAATGAAAATCAATATTTTCAGCTTGGAGGAAATACATGGTTAATATTAAGGAAATAAAAGGTGTAGAAGTAAAAGTAAATCTATGTTTAAAAAACACGTTTACTTCAAATATTGCATTATAATTAATTTAAAAAAATGATTTATAAATCATATTATGTTGAACTTTTATCTGTTTATAATATTATGTTAATATTAATAATAAAGTATAATAATTATCATTGTAAATAATTTTTGCTGAAACCACAATTGTTTAGGTATACCTATAATCCTATAGGTATTTTTCTGGCATGTACAGGGTGATCCCCTATAATGTCGCCCCCCTTTAACTTTTTTATTCAAAAAATTTAAAAGTGTGGTTATGTAGGTACTAAAAAATACTTTTTTTTATGTATAAAAAAATGAAAAATTGATCAATATACAGGGAAAAACAAAAAGTTTATTATTTTTCAATGGATCACCCTATATATGAATTTATTTTTCGATTCCTTGTAAAATTCTTAGCATAATTCATATAACAAACCATATACCTAAATTTAACCGTTTCTGAAATATTCGCATTCGAAATGTTATCATTAAATGTTTTTTTAAACTGTTAAAAATCAGTACCTATATCAAATTTTTTATTGAAAATAAATTACTATATTGACATTATGTCAATATGTCTTGTTAAATAAGTAAAAATGGCGTACTCAGACAGAGAAAGACAAAATATTTCAACTTATTATCTTAAAAATAATTTAAATACTTTAGAAACGGTTAAATTTAGGTATATGGTATGTTATATGAAATATGCTTAGAATTTTTCAAGGAATCGAAAAATAAATACATATATAGGGTGATCCATTGAAAAAAAATAAACTTTTTGTTTTTCCCTGTATACTGATCAATTTTTCAATTTTCTTTATACGTAGAAAAAAAGTATTTTTTAGTACCTTCATAACCACACTTTTAAATTTTTTGGGACACTTAAAATAAAAAAGTTAAAGGGGGGCGACATTATAGGGGATCACCCTGTACCTATGTAAATTTTAACAATTAATTTATGTAAATAGAACATTTTCTATAAAACACTTGTTAATAGTACTTTAAAAATTGTAAAACATAAATAAGGCCTTAAGTTTTTTCAGTTTTAAACCCTAACAAACATTGTTTTTTATTTGTATTTTTTTAATTTGCTTTTGTTTTGTTAACAATAAAAAGTGGATCACTATGTTTATAGAACGGATAGAAAAATAACAAAAAATGCAGCTACGACAAAAATGCTGATTGTAAATGTTGTAATCCTATACCTAGTAATGCGTAAGTACTTGAGTAATAAATAGATATATGGTCTTGGAAGAATTCAAAACATTTTTATTAATAATAATGTATTAGTCATTAAAATGTTAACAAATAAGAGATATAGGTACCTAGGTATATTTATATTTATTAATACAACCACATTCAAGTATTTGCTATATTTTAAAGTATATAGGTAGGATATAAAATAACTGAACTTTTACTATGAAAGAAAAACACTTTCCCTCTTTAATAGAATTCCAAGCAATTATGCCTCAGCCCGCGGGTGTGACGTAAAAACATATGACGGTTTTAAAAGGCTACAAAGGAGCGAAATGCGGTTTGACCCGATTATCGGCAAGTTAGTGCGCTACTTTCCCACTTTTATGTCTCATCCGTCTGTCTGCATTATACAATCGCTGTAACGTGAGTTGCGGTGTTGCCAATTTTTGCAAAAAGTACCACGAATCGTACCAAACATTTTTATATAAAAGTTAAAGTTAAAGTTTTAAAAATTCGATTTTATTTCGAAAATATGATAAATACATCAACTAAAAAACATCGTATTTTGAGGGAAGCTTGGCAACGTGGCTGCGGCATTGCGGAAGGTCAGTGCCGAAATGCGGCTTTGCGCGGCAAATCAGCAGAACCCGCGTAAAACCGATCGCAACGTTGTCATGTTTCCTTTTCTTGCTCGACCGGCAAATGTTTTGAAAACCTTGAAGCCTACAAGCCTTCAAGTTGAAGGCACACGGTTACGAAACGAAAATATTATCAATCGGACGACTTTGAGGAAAAACTTAATTAATAATTAAATCAGTGAGATTAAGAAGTCCAAAAGTCAAAATATTTCAAAAAATCAGTTTTATAATACTAAAAATTAATGCATTTTTGCAGGAATATTTTAACTATTTTATAAAATATAATGTTCATATTCTGTAAAATGATTTATATCTTCTCACAAAAAGTATTTTAAACTTTAAAATTAATTTTAAAAAATGACTAGTCAAAATTAAATTTTTGGACTTGTACTGTTCTTATTCCTACCGATTCTATTATAATCGGTAATAACATTTAAGTGGAGGAAATGTTTTGAGATTTATAAACGAAAACATTGTATAAATATTTTTTTCTAGGTCAATGTGAAATATTATTTAAACAATTATGCTTATAAATAAATAACTTCAAGATTTATAAAATGGTCATTTTGATACTTTTTTAGCATGCTTATTTAATTACAATTTCAAATTTGATACAATTCGATTTTATTTTCTTGATATTATATTAAACAGTGGCGTGGCAAGGGGTGAAATCATGAAGTAACATTTGATTATTTTTTACTTTTTAAATAGTTGTTGACAGTGACATTTGAAAGTAAAATTAATTATTTAAATTAAAAATAAAACAATAGTTAACCATCTTTAGAATAATAAAATAATTAATTACTAAAAAACCTAAATATTTTTTAATAATAATAATAATAATAAACTTTATTGGAAATCCAAAAGGCTAACGACTTTCGTCTTCCTGCCCAATTACAATTAATATTTTTTATTTTCCATGTTTCTCTTATAAATTGTTAAACTTAAATGTTTACACGAATTTTGTGCTCATAAAAATCTTAATTAGGTTTAAAGTTTTCCATGCTCAAATAAAAATATCTCGAGTAGTATTGGTCAGATGAAACATTGGCTATAATAAAAATTGTAGATTGGGAAATTGTTTACAAAAAAATCCTACACATTTGTATGTACTTGTTATAGTTTTAAGTTATTATAAAAAATAATTATTTTAGTGCCGCGCCATATTGTTTTTTGCTAATATCTCGCTTTTTATTAACATTAACATTTATGTTTATTATAAAAATTGTGGATCAGAAAATTGTCTACAAAAAAGTCCTTAGCATTTTTTATATATTTGTTATAGTTTTTATTAATAGTAATTAGTAATTAATAGTAATTATTAAGAAAAATTATTTTTTTAGTGCCGCGCCATATTGTTTTTTGCAAATATCTCGATTTTTATTAACATTTCGACATTTCTGTTTATTTTAAAACTTGTAAGTTATTGAGAAAAATAATTATTTTAGTGCCGCGCCATATTGTTTTTTTACAAATATCTGGCTTTTTATTAACATAACGACATTTTTGTTCATTATAAAAAAATTTGAATAATTATAAAACAAGTTTTAGTCTTATTTTCTAAAAATAATACATAACCTCAAATGTCAAGTGGGCCTTTTGGGTGTGTACGTAGCATAGAACATACTGATGAGCAAAAACACTCAAGGTAAAATTAGCGTAACCGTATTTTACAAATTATCGAGTGTATTTTGCAATAAATACTTTTGTAATTCGCAATGGTTTTATTCTAATTAAATCGATTTACATGTACACCGTTTAAATATAAAATATGATGTCCACACAAATTGCAAAATCGAAAAAATTGAACAGTGAAAGTACGTTTTAAATCAAATCGGAAAATATTTAACAATAAAAAATAAATTAATAAATTATTTCTATGTTGTGCAATTCACTGATGTCCAGGTCGAATTTGCAAACAAACGATATTTTAATTTTGATTTAAAAAAACAGACTGCACTTACCACTTTTGTTTTCCAGGATATCATGGTATTTGTCTATCACGCTGGTTACTAGGTACGCCATTTTAAATCTGAAACAAAGAATTATTAAGTTGGTTGTTTTTTTGCCCTTAACTTGTTGACGTTAGAGAAAAAAGCAAAACACTTTTTTTGAAGGAAATTTAGTCTCCTATAAAAAAGGTCATATAAGTTAAATCTCTAAAATTAATATTTTAAGAGATACCTATATGAACTTAAATTCATAAAAAAAATTGACTCATTTGTTAGGAACTTTCACTGGTTATTCGATTAAATAGTTTTATTTAAATACTAACGGGTAAAAGTATACCTACAACAAATTACATAACAGAATCGTTAGTCGATTAAAATCCTGTACATTTTCACTAGGTATTGCAAAACGAATCATTATTACAAAAAGAACACAAAAATTAAGATAAGCCATCAAAAATAAATAAATAAAAAGCATGTTTAGTTTTATTTTGCGTTACCTTTTCTGTTCCATTTCGTTTTAAAATTGTATCGTTGTTTTTGGTATTTTGTAAAATATTTGACGTTCTATAAAAATGTCACTGTAAAATTAGGATCAAATTTTAAGGAGAAATGTCATTTGACAATTTAATATTTAAAATTGTTGACATTTTTTTATTTAAATACACAGGGATTTTAATATTTGATATTTAAAAGAAAATAAATTGTTTTTTTAGTAAATAATGTTAACACAAATTTCCTGCCTAACAATGGGAATAATAAAGTCATTAGATATTGATTGGCCGATTTTAATAGTCACTGTGATTTTAACCAATCGGGTTTTAAATTGGGAGAAGGTGACTATAATAACATTTATTTTCACCTTCTTAGTAAATGACATTTTATAGGTTAATTTTGTTGTTTTGTATTCAAGTAAACGATACATTATGGGAACAGACCTGTAATATTTTACGGGCTTGTATAAAAAACCTGTAAAGTTTTACAGGCTTGTAGAAAAGCAATTTATGAAATGAAATGACACATTTAATATTTTGAATTTAAAATGCGTTATCTAAAGGTGAAAATAAAAGTTTGTACGTGTCACGCTTTGCATTTAATCTTTACCAGGCCCACAAACTTCCAGCTTGCACGTAAAGATTCATTTACAAAGCTTGACACGTAAATAACTATTAAAATTGATAAAAGTGAGGTTAACCATTTGACAGATGTCAGATTTTATTTATTTATTTTTGAAAGTCATTTAATTATCTGCCATTGGAGTAGGTAGATAATAGTATATTATTATACGAGAGATAATGCAGGCTATTATTTACAAGGATGAGGTTTGCGTTTATATTGCACTAGTTCAAAATTATTTTGTCAAAATAACGAAAATGGCTGTTTAAAAAATTTATAAAGAAAAAAAATGGAAAAAAACTTAAAAATGATTTTTATTTAAAAAAATAAATCAAGAACTTTGTACAATTAGTTAATTTTAAAGAAATAAAATCATTTTTGGACAAAATTTGACAATTTTCAAAATTCAAAAGTGCTGTAATTTTTTGTCCGAGTTAAATGAAATTAAAAGAATATTGTACCTTTATCGATCTACTTTATCTTGTTATTTAATTACAAGTTAAATTTTAATCAGAAAAATTCAATAGAGGAAATTTAATAAGAAATATGAAAATTTTGTATTTTTTTATATTTAATTAAATTTGAATTTAATTAAAAAGTTTGAAAAATGTTCTTATTTTTAACGCATTTTTAGATTTATTATACACAATTTCTTTAATGACTTTTTTATTATATTGGAAAAACCAAAAAAAGTATATTTTCTTCTTGACCAAAAAGTTTTACTTGGTTATAGTAAAAATAATACAATGTATCTACTTGCCCTAGAGGGAATATTCAAAGGAGTGTATGACTTACCGCGAGATAAAAGTTAACAGTTAAACCAAACCAAACCAAACCAAATGTGTAAGACGTTGATAAATTTATAAACAAACACCTTGAATAAATTTTGGCCTTAAGTTATTATTAATAACACTCGCGAAGTGCGGAGACCAAGCAGCTACCCGATGGAGGACGCGTCAAAGACTGAATGAAGCGCGAAAAAATACGCTTTTATTTAAACAGTTCATAGGCAAATTAAAAACAGGTTACAGGTGTTAATTGATGTTTTTCGTTTGTTCTCGTGGCCACCAGCTTTTTAATGCGTAATTTTACGGAATTACTGGAAGATTGAAATTAGTGGAGACCGCGTTTGAAGTTAGTTTTTACAACTACACGTGATTATTTTTATATATTTAGTAAGAAGTGAGGTTAAAAACGCTTGACAGTTGTCATCAATCAACAATTTTAAATTTTATTGTTAGAAATGTACTAAAACGGTTTAAAATAAACATTTTGAGATACATAATTAAGTTTTTACTATACAGGGTGTCCCATAATTAGCGTGCAATACTTTAACAGCAGATTCTACGTACAAAAATAAGAAAAAAAGTCCGTATAAACATAGGCTGAGAAATGCTTTCTAAGGGAGCTACAGCCCCTGAAAGAGGAGCCCCTGAAGATGGTTTTTATTTAATACCTACAAATCCAAAACCATTTAAGAAAAGTAAAATTTTGGGAATTAATCAAACCTTTCATGACCAATAAAATTTCCATGAGGGGTGGGTCAGATAGATAGGGAGTAGGGGTTAAAACCACCCTAACTTTTTTGTATGTGTCCCGTGCTAGGATTTGATGTCAGATTATGAAATTTCGGAGTTTTACACACAAAAAAGGTCCTCTCGTTAAACTTTGATATTATCCACTGTTTTCGCTTAAAATCGATTTAAAAATTACCTTACATAGCATAAAAGACCATAAAGAATTCAAAAGAGAAAAAGAATCAGCGTAGGCCATGGGACACAGCTGCCATCTTAAGACAGTTATATGTGACAGGGTGTTTAAAAATTGTCCATGGCCCACGCTGAATCTTTTTCTCTAGTTGTGATTTCATTATGAATTTTTATGCTACGTAAGGTAATTTTTAAATCGATTTTAAGCATAAACGGGGCATGCTATCGAAGTTCATCAAGAGGAACTTTTTTATGTGTAAAACTCTGAAATTATATAATCTAATATCAAATCATACGTACAAAAAAGTTAGGGTAGTTTTACCCCCACTCCCTTATGAAAATTTTGAATTCCAACTTATTCGCCATAAAAAGTTTGATTATATCCCATAATTTCACTTTTCTATTTAACGGTTTTGGAGATATTAAATAAAAACCATCTTCAGGAACTTCTCTTTCGGGGGCTGTAGCTCCTTTGGGAAACATTTCTTGACCTATTTTGAAAGGAACTTTTTTCCTATTTTTGTAAGTAGAACCTGCTGTTAAAGAATTGCACGCTAATTATGCTACACCCTGTATAGTATGACGCAACTAAAAATAGGATTTTAAATTATAAATCCACGGAATATTCCCTGCAATTATTTTTGTGTTAGGTATATAGGTATGTAGGTAGTATGACGCAACTAAACATAGAATTATAAATCCTAAAAACAACAGCCACGGAATATTTTCTGCAATTAATTTTTTGTTCATTGACAAAAAAAATCCCAAATATGTTTATTGTTTGCATTGAAATTGAAAATAAACATTCTTGCAACCATCGTCAACACATTTCTAGCTACCTTGAGCTGTAATTTAAAAACGGTTAAACAAATGATCTTAAAACTTTTTTATAGATATTTTTGAGATCCACAACGTTTTTATTTGTGATTTTTAGTTTTAATTAATTTTAGAGGTCGAAAAATTAAAAGCAAATTTTTGTTTACCCTGATGCCCTATAGGTATCTAGTTAAGAACTAAATACAGAAAGTTTTGCCGACTAGAAAATATGTTAAATATTGAAAACTTCACATTTTTTGTCTTAATAGTCTTAATAGTTGCCTGACCAATGGGAAACGAATTATTTTTTTCTTTCAAAATTCAGCTTTTAAAACATTTTGACTGAAGTACCGGAAAATATTGTCACAATAAAGAGTAGTATACTAATTTATAAATTTAACAAGATAAGCACAATACTTTTTAAATTCCATTGCCTAGGGCAAGGAAAAATATATTCCTTAAAAATTATCTTATTAGATTACACAAAATGTGTGATAGGTACTTAAAAATAAATTACTTCGAAATCAGTGTTTTTATGACTCAATATTTTCGACAAATCTCGAAGTGCTAATATGCAGATATTAAAACAAAACATTTCTTGGTCGTTAAAAAGTTTTTATATAAAATTAATCTCATTCTGTAGGTAGTTAAAATCTAGCTTTTGAACAATAAAGGATTTTTTTGTCGAATTAATGTTCAAACATGCAAATTAATGCATTAATTAACCTTGAGGTAATATTTCCTGTATCAAAAAATTTTTTTGGCGGCTGGTGGATTTTGGGTATACCAATATTTCAGTTATTAGACATGGGACCCTCACTAAATTTATAATAGTATATAATGACATTAAATAGACAAGTTCGGCGCAAACAGAATTTAAATTGAAGTTTGCGAAAAAAAGTTAGTTTTTCCTGTTGCCTCACTTGCCTCCAGGCCCCCCTATTTAAGATAATGGATAATTTGGATTTTTTAAATAAAATTTTAAATTTGTCGATAAATTATAGTAGATAATAAATTGCACCACTTAAACTTAAATTCGAATTATCTCAAATAGGGGGGCCTGGAGGCGGGTGAGGCAAAAGGAAAAACTAACTTTTTTCACAAACTTCAATTTAAATTCTGTTTGCGCCGAACTTGTTTATTTATTGTCATTATAAACTATTATAAATTTGGTGTGGGTCCCATATCTAATAACTGAGATATTGGTATACATAAAATCCACCAGCCGCCACTTTTTGAAAAAATTCCCAAAAAATAAAAAATCTGAAAACCCGGCTTAGGTACCTACTAAGTAAACTAGCCCGATTAGTAGCTACTAATTACTACTATGTAGTAATAAATTATTCAATAATTTGGTAATTTGTGCAGATTTTTCCAATTATCCTTCAAAAAAAAAACCTTTATCAAGTTCAAACGACATTTCATGATTACTTCC